AAAAATCCTTTTGGGAAGTTGAGGGTGTAGGATTAAATAAAATTGGCAAATGAAGTATGAAAGAGGGTTAGTGATAGAATACTTTGAAGAAGGATGTTAGCCCTTTGGGATTTAACATTTGTGCTGGGAGATTTAAAAAATGATTATCATTTTCCCCGAGCATACTTTTGCTAAAAGCTTTTGGAGAAAACTTGGGGACATGGGCTTATACCAGATTGAATAGTTTGTCATAGGGTATGGATAGCAGAAATTTTAACTGAAGCATCTCTTATATTCTAGACACTGTTCTGGGGGCTTGGGATACATGAGAACAAAACCAAGATCCTGAGGGAAATGGGGTGAAACAGCTGATTAAAAAATGAACATAACCGTATATTATCTAGTATGTTGGGAGGTGATACCAGAAAAAGAAAAGCAGAATAAGGAAGAATGGGATGTAGATGAGGGAGGCATTGCAGATTTACAACAAGGTGGACTGGGCAGGCTCATTGAAATGATATTTGAATGATGACTTCAAAGTGCTAACTTGTGAAATTAGAAGAAAAAATGTTACATTGGGAAATGGTGCTTTAATAAGGTATTTATTTATTTAGAGACAGAGTCGTGCTCTGTCACCCAGGCTGGAGTGCAGTGGTGCAATCTCAGCTCACTTCAACCGCAACTTCCACCCCTGGGTTCAAACAATTATTCTGGCTCAGCCTCCTGAGTAGCTGGGATTACAGATGCACACCATCATGCCCAGCTAATTTTTGTATTTTTTGTAGAGATGGTGTTTCACTGTGTTGGGCAGATTGGTCTGGAATGCCTGACCTCAAGTGATCCACCCACCTTGGCCTCCCAAAGTGCTGGGATTACAGGCATGAGCCACCACACCCGCCCCAGTAAGTTTCTTTTGCCCCTAATTCAAATGATACTACAAGTTTTGTTAAAAAAAAAAAAAAAAAATTACCTGCTCCTTGGGTTAACTTGCTTACAGGAAATCTTATTTATTTGCTTAATGTTTATCCCTGTTGTTGCTTCTGGTGTTTTAATTTCAGCCACATGATAGGTAACTTTCTGTTATTAGGCTGCTACTAACACCATTTCCTTACACTGATTCAGGCCAGTCTAGCCAGGGCTCTCCAGTCTATGCCTTTCTGCAGTCAAAGCAATAGTAAGCATTTCTTTTCTTTATTTTCTTTTTTTTGGGACAGAGTCTTGCTATGTTGCCCAGGCTGAAGTGGTATGATCTCACCTCATTGCAATCTCCATCTCCTGGGTTCAAGCAGTTCTCCTGGTTGGCCTCTTGAGTAGCTGGGATTACAGGCGTGTGCCACCACACCCAGCTAATTTTTGTATTTTTAGTAGAGACAAGGTTTCAGCATGTTGGCCAGGCTGGTCTTGAACTCCTGATCTCGTGATCCACCCACCTTGGCCTCCCAAAATGCTGGGATTACAGGCGTGGGCCACCACAACCAGCCAATAGTAAGCATTTCTTAAGCAATGTGCTAGCAGTGAATATGAATATGTGTAAAGATGTTGTATAATATGAAGAGGTAAATGATAGGATGTGGGCCTGGTTTCAGCATATCCACCCATTTTGCTTTTTTTGTGTGAGTGTGCAGAATGATATTCTCTTTTTTTTAGACAGAGCTTTGCTCTTGTTGCCCAGGCTGGAGTGCAGTGGCTTGATCTCGGCTCATTGCAACCTCTGCGTCCCAGGTTCAAATGATTCTCCTGCCTCATCCTCTGTAAGTAGCTGGGATTACAGGCACCTGCCACCATGCCCAGCTAATTTTTTTGTATTTTTAGTTGAGACAGGGTTTCACCATGTTGGCCAGGCTGGTCTTGAACTCCTGACCTCAGGTGATCCACGCGCCTCAGCCTCCCAAAGTGCTGGGATTATAGGTGTGAGCCACTGCGCTCTGCCTTCTCTTTTTTTATCTTTGAATGAAACACACTGTTTTTCACTGCTCCTTGAATGATGTTAGGAATGCTCTTATCTTAGGGTCTTTGGGCTGTTTCCTCTGCCAGGACCACTTTTCCCTGAGATAGTCTGCATGACTTCCTCGCTCATGTTGTTCAGTGGCCTCTCCTTAGTACCCTCAATAGAATGGCACGCACCGCCATCGCTGTCAAGCCCTGCTTAAGGTTTCTTCATAACATTTATCGATCCTTGATATAAATACTTCTCTGTTGTTGTTTATTGTAGTCTCTGTCCTTTAGCTTGGATGTGTTTTGACAGTAGAAGTTCAGCTGTTTTCCCCCACTTGCCTGGCATATAATAAGTGTTCAATAAATATTGATTTAATAAAGAATATGTTTAATGAGAGATATTCTGCTTTTACTTGTCTAATATTTCAGAGCTTAAATTTGGCCTCTGTAAGTTAAAGGCTCTTTAGCGATCCTGTCCATGTAGCTTGTCCTGTGTTGCTAGGCATGTAGGGATTTATGGGGTATAACTAAACATAAAATAATGAAATTTTCATATGGCCTAACACCATCATTCTCATTACTGTGTGATCACTGATCCTGTTTAAGTAACTTGAGACCAGATTTGTCTGATCCAGTGAAGCAAACACAAATATGTGGAAAAGCTAAAATACTTTTGCTTGTATCTGCTTAAATTAGATGCCTTAACATTTTAAATCATTGCTCATGTTGAGCAAAACTGCAAGATGAACATTATGCCGGTAAAGCAGCTGGTACTGTCCTCACTTAAACAGACATTAAACTACTTCAAGTCAGAGTTTGATTTGGCCAGAGCCACAAGGGACTGGTGGAATGATGCCGAAGTAAAAGTGTGAACCATTTGGAAGGATTGGAATTAAGTAGAACTGTGCCTATGCCAGAAATCCCAACTCCTCAAGAAACCCAAAACCTAGACATGGTCTTTTGCTATTTGTTAATACCTTTGCATTACTTTTGTTTAAACAGCAAGATTTTGGCTGAAATCTGATCCTCTAACATGGTAATGATTAGAATTGTTTCTAAGACTGGTAAGTTGTGTTTCAGTAAGGCATAGGAGCTGAAGATTCCAAACTTGCTTTTAAAAGCTAATCTAGTATACCAGCTAATTAACCTTGATCTGTGCTACCTTTTAAGGTCATGTTAGCATCATCCTCATATATATCAAGCATACTTCACAGTATGTCTGCTATTTGCGCTTAACAGATATGATTAGAGAAAATTTAAAAGATAGTAAACTTGTGTGTTTTGACATTTAATATACTCCTAAAATTCATTACAATTTCTTTCTTTACATTAACCTTTGTTGTGAATTAATAATAATGCAGAACAAGAATTAGCCATCCTAAAGTTGATTTTCTCTATTATAAAGAAGAGTTTTTTAGATTTTTTTTTTTTTTTTTTTTTTTAAGCGGAGTTTCGCTCTTGTTACCCAGGCTGGAGTGCAATGGCACGATCTCGGCTCACCGCAACCTCCGCCTCCTGGGTTCAGGCAATTCTCCTGCCTCAGCCTCCTGAGTAGCTGGGATTACAGGCACGCGCCACCATGCCCAGCTAATTTTTTGTAGTTTTAGTAGAGATGGGGTTTCACCGTGTTGACCAGGATGGTCTCGATCTCTTGACCTTGTGATCCGCCTGCCTCGGCCTCCCAAAGTGCTGGGATTACAGGCGTGAGCCACCGCGCCTGGCCTAGATTTTTTTTTTTTTTTTTTAAGTTAAAAAAATTGGGGCTGGGTGTGGTGCCTCATGCCTGTAATCCCAGCACTTTGGGAGGCTGAGATGGGTGGATCACCTCAGGTCAGGAGTTCAAGACCCAGCCTGACCAACATGGTGAAACCCCATCTCTACTAAAAATACATAATTAGCCGGGTATGTTCGCGCATGCCTGTAGTCCCAGCTACTTGGGAGGCTGAGGCAGGAGAATCGCTTGAACCCGGGAGGTGGAGGTTGCAGTGAGCCAAGACTGTGCTGTTGCACTCCAGCCAGGGCAACAAGAACAAAACTCCGTCTCATAGAAAAAGAATTTTTTTTTTAAAGACAGGGTCTTACTCTGTCATCCTGGCTAGAGTGCAATGGCTCACTGTAATCTCAAACTCCTGGGCTCAAGCAATCCTCCTATCTCAGCCTCCCAAGTAGCTAGGACTACAGGCATGTACTACCATGCCTGCCTAAATTGGGATTTATTTTTGTTTTTGTTTATTGTAGAGATGGGGTCTTGCTATTTTCCCAGGGTGGTCTCAAACTTCTGGCTTCAAGGGATCCTCCTGCCTGACCCTCCCAAAGTGCTGGGATTTTCGACATGAGCCACCACATCCAGCCAACAACAACACTTCTACAGAAAATTTCAAACCAAACAAATTTAGAGAAAGGTATAATGAACCCCTGTGTATCCATTACCCAAATTCAATAATTTTAGCACATAGTCATTCTTCTTTCATGTGTATCCCTACATACTTTCTGTCCCTACTCCCATATATCATTTCAAAGCAAATTTCTGGTTATGTCCCTTTCAACCATAGTATGAGAGAGAACTCTGAAAGATAAAGACTTACTTTTTTTGGACATATAACTACAATAGGTGGGATATTTTAAGGTAATCTATAAATATTTTACTGGTTTTAGTACCTGAAGTCAGTCTTCTAATAGTATAGTACAATTAAAATAAGTAGTATAGTACAGTTACAACAGGATAAAACACTACTGGTTTTATTAAAAGTCTGGCTAAGTTTTTTTTTTTTTTTTTTTTACAAATTTGTAGAAATTTCCTTAGGAAAACAGAAGCATTAAACTTTTTAAGCTTCTAGATAATTTCATATTACTTTTCTAAAAATTTGTAAGGAAAGAACAGCACATTGAGTAGAAAATGAATTGTACAACTTTGGATTTTGGTTCACCTGAAAATCATCTTTTCTTCCCTAAAATGTTACTAAATTCTCGTATTAAACCAAAGATGTATAAATGTTTGTCTGTAAATCTAGTTCATATCCACATGTGAATTGTGATAAATGTATTTTTAGACAGATTTCCTTGATCTAATGCCAGAAATCATAGAGTGTGTTAATAATAATACATAAATTTGTGATATCATGAAAAACTGGCTCTACAAGTTTCTCAAACAAGGGAGAAAATTTAGATGAAAGACTAAGCCACAAACAAAAAGATACATTGAAAATGCTAAAAAAATATATTTTATAGTACCCATACATTTGAATCATGGAAATATGAGCTGTGTTATGTGTTGAAAAGGAACCAGCTATATATTAGTTTAAGTAATTCCTTTGTAGCCAAAATATGAGAAACCATCTAGGACCCATATAACCACTTTTGTCTATCTCTTAAATAAACATGCTGGTCTTTACAGGTGTTTAGTACATGAAAACACAAAATAATTTGCTTTGATGGATGTACTTCTCTCTTTTTTTTTAGACAGAGTCTCGCTCTGTCACCTAGGCTGGAGTGCAGTGGTATGATCTTGGCTCACTACACCCTCTGCTGCCCGGGTTCAAGTGATTCTCCTGCCTCCGCTTCCCGAATAGCTGGTATTACAGGCACGCACCACCACACCTAGCTAATTTTTTGTATTTTTAATAGAGACGGGGCTTCACCATGTTGGCCAGGATGGTCTTGATTTCTTGACCTCGTGATCTGCCCGCCTTGGCCTCCCAAAGTGCTGGGATTACAGGTGTGAGCCACCACGCCTGGCCCCGTCTTTCTTTTAAAAGAAAAACATAGACTGTGCACGGTGGCCCACGCTTCTAGTCCTAGCACTTTGAGAGGTCAAGGCAGGCACAGATCTCTTGAACCCAGGGGTTTGAGACCAGCTTGAGCAACATAGGGAGATCCCGTCTCTACAAAAAATACATAATTAGCTGAGCAATGTGGCACACACCTGGAGTCCCAGCTACTCAGGTGGCTGAGGCAGGAGAATCACTTGAGCCCAGGAAGTCAAGGCTGCAGTGAGCCATGATTACCACTCTACCTGGGCAACAGAATGAGGCACTTTCTCAAAAGAAAAGAAAAGCATTACAAAAAAAAGTATTGGAAATGGGGAACACTTAAGACCTGAAAATGTTGTCTTTGTTCAGAAGAAAGATTGGTAATGCAAATGATAACAGAAATAGAAAAGGAAGATGATGAAGTGGCATTCTGGAGTTGTCCAATTGAGGCCTTGGTGGTTATTGTTATCGTGGATGTAGCCAAGCATATGCCATATCACCATCACATTTCATTATTTCCCTGTGAAACAGCAGACAGAAATTCTTAGCTGCCGTGACTTTGGCAGTGTTTTTCTTGGGCATCTGTTAAAAATGCCAACATCTGTCTCTTTTTGTTGTGAATAATGTGTGGAACTGATACTGTTTTTTTAATATACTCTGTCACCCCCCTAGATAGGAAATTCCATACTACTCATTTTACCTTGCTTAGTGAAAACAGAGACATCTTCTGTTTAACCAACCTGAGTGTATCATTTGTACAAAATAAAATAGGATTTTTTGGTAAAGATCATTAATGATGTATGTGGCCGAATAATATTTCATTGTATAGACATAGCACATTTTGTTTATCTGAACTCTTTTGTTGGACATTTGGGTTGTTTTCACTTTTTGGTTATTGCAAATAATGCTGCTATGGACATTTGCATGTAAGACTTTGTATGAACATGTTTCCTGGGTAGATATCTGGGAGTGGAATTGTTGCAAATTTATGTTTAACATTTTGAGGAATTGCCCAATTTCTCTCTCCTAAAGTGGCTGTACCATTTTTATATTGCCATCAGAAGTATATGGGTCAGGCGTGCTGGGTCATGCCCGTAATCCCAGCACTTTAGGGGTCTAAGGCCAGCAGATCATGTAGAAGTTCAAGACTGACCTGGCCCACAAAGCGAAACCTCATCTCTACTAAAAATACAAAAATTAGCTAGGCGTGGTGGCACACACCTATAGTCTCAGCTACTAGGGAGGCTGACGCAGGGGAATCGCTTGAACCCAGGAGGCAGAGGTTAAAGTGAGCTGAGATTGTGCCACTGTACTCCAGCCTGGGCAGCAGGGCAAGACTCTGTCTCAAAAAATAACAAGAAATATATGGATGCTCCAATTTCCCCATGTCTGTTCTATACTTGTGATTGTCTTTTTTATTATTGCTTATTCATTTCTTGAAAAGTTTACCCATATTTGACTCATCTGTCTCTTCTACCACTATTTTCTGCAAAATTGGGTTCAAGGAAGGGAAGTATCCTTTATCAATAACAGCTTTATCCATTTGATATTTTCACTGATTTTTTTAAATCTAAAAGACAGTGTGATATTATGCAGCAGTTGATAGCCAAGTTCATTATACTCTAGATATTTTTTTTCTTGAGACAGAGTTTCTTGTTGCCCAGGCTAGAGTGCAGTGGCACAATCTTGGCTCACTGCAACCTCTGCCTGCCGGGTACAAGAGATTCTTCTGCGTCACCCTCTCAAGTAGCTGGGACTACAGGTGCACACCATCATGCCCGGTTAATTTTTTTGTATTTTTAATAGAGACAGGGTTTTGCCACGTTGGTCAGGCTGGTCTCGAACTCCTGACCTCAGGTGATCCACCTGCCTCAGCCTCCCACAGTGCTGGGATTACAGGCATGAGCCACTGCTCCTGGCCTAAATTCTAGATCCTTTAACATTTATTTTATTTTATTTTATTTTGAGGCGGAGTTTCGCTCTTGTTACCCAGGCTGGAGTGCAATGGCGCGATCTCGGCTCACCGCAACCACTGCCTCCCGGGTTCAGGCAATTCTCCTGCCTCAGCCTCCTGAGTAGCTGGGATTACAGGCATGCGCCACCATGCCCAGCTAATTTTCTGTATTTTTAGTAGAGACGGGGTTTCACCATGTTGACCAAGATGGTCTGGATCTCTTGACCTCGTGATCCACCCACCTCAGCCTCCCAAAGTGCTGTGATTACAGGCGTGAGCCACTGCGCCCGGCTAACATTTATTTTAAAAGCAGTTTCTCGTGAAACTTGGAGCTACTTGGGTAGTCATGTGTATATGGGGGATGAGGTGTGGTCATGACATTATAAGGTGTATTTTGATTTTATAATTCCCTTGGTGTTGATTTTAGTTTGGAAACTAAGATAAGTTGTGTAGCAGGTAGCTACATTTAAAAAATGTAATTTAGACACTCCCATGCTTAAAAATCCGTTGGTTTTCCATTGCAGTTGAAAGGAAATCCAGACTCATTGTGCCCAGAAGGCTTTCCATGTCCAACTCTTAACTACTACCTTTCCACAGATCTCCTACTGCTCACCCTCTTCCTTTAGTGCACTCACAATATGTTGGTCTTCTTTTAGCTTCTCTGTGTTCCAGACTCTTCTCACTTTAGGCCTTTTCCTAACTGTTCTTTCTTTTCCTTTGGTTTGGGGCAGGGCTTGCTTAAGATCCCTTATTCTGGGAGACATTTGCTGATCACTGTGTCCTCCTTCTCCCGTAATCTCTATATTTAGATTTTCTCCTTCTTTATTCATTTGAGTTCATAATTATTTTATTAGTTGGTTTCCTTTTATCACCCTGTCTCACAACTAAACTGCAAGCTCTTCGAAGACCTATCCTGTCTTGTCTTGTGTCCCCAGCGCCTTACTCATTGCCTAGTACATAACATCTAATGTTTGTTGGATAAATAAATTAATTGTCCCTACTCTGCTATATTTTTGTTTTATTCAGTTTTGTAGAATGGGCTAGACGCTTGTATGCTGTTTAATCTCCCATAGTTACACAGGTCATGATGGCAGGAAATTTGTTATGTGTATGCTTTTCACTCATACCTTTTGCATGCGTATATTCAGTAAAGACATATAGACCTAAGTTGAAAATTTCTCTTGAAAATAATTGAAATGGGTGTTAGAAATGTTCTGCAGCTACACTGTCAATATAATGAGAAGTTTTAAACAAAAGCTTTAAGATCAAAGCTAAATAGAGTCAAAATCAAAATGGACATTTTAGATCTAGGCGATGAATTATTTACAATCACTTTATTCTTTCTGTTCCCTGCCTTTTCCTACCTCCTTCATGCCATTTTTATAACTACTTTCTTGTTCCAATTGGCTTTTTCTGTTTTGGTCCTAGCCTTCTGGTCCACAGAACTTTCCAGCCCAAGGGGTTTTGGGAGGAGATAGTATAATGTAATACTTGTATAGGTAATGTATATGTAGTATGTGTGTTATAGCTATGCTTCATTTATTATTTCTGTTTCCTCAAACAGTTTCTCTAGTTGTCTAATCTTACTGCAGCAGTTAGTCCTTCTTTCTTGAAACTTATTCCTTTGATTTTTGGAGACATTCCTATTTTTTTCTCTCAAGTTTTTAGTTAAACTTTCTCATTCTCCCTTGTGGTTTCCCCTTCCTCTACCTGTCCCTTAAATCTGCATCTCAGGTAATTGATTTTGTGACATGGACACAGAGAGAGGAACAAGTTATGACATGGACACAGAGAGAGGAGGAACAGCACACACCAGGGCCTGTTGGGGGGTGGAGGGTGAGGGGAGGGAACTTGGACAACCTGTCAGTAGGTGCAGCAAACCACCATGGCATATGTATACCTATGTAACAAACCTGTATGTTCTGCACATGTATCCTATGTTTTTAGAAATAAAAAAATTAAAAAGTACCAAGTTACGAATGATTACTCATTGTCTTTAAATAAGATAGAGTTGATCCCTATGATATGATTTGTCTCTGTGGCCCCACCCAAATCTCATCCCAAATGGTAATCCCCATATGTTGAGGGAGGGACCTTGTAGGAGGTGATTGGCTCATGGGGGCAGGGTTCCCCATGCTGTTCTCATAGTAGTGAGAGAGTTCTCCTGAGATCTAATGGTTTAAAAGTGACAGTTTCCCCTGTGCTTGCTCTTTCTCTACTGCTGCCTTGTGAAGACATGCTTCCCCTTCTTCTTCTGCCATGATTGTAAGTTCCCTGAGGCCTCTTCAGCCATGCTGAGAGGCCCAGCAACACATGGAAGCCACCAATGCTTGGGCTTGAGTCAATTAAACTTCTTTCCTTTACAAATTACCCAGTCTTGGGTCATTCTTTATAGCAGTATGAAAATGCACTAATATAGACAATTGATACTGAGAGTAGGGCAGTGCTATAAAGAAAACTTGAAAATGTGGAAGTGACTTTGGAACTGGGTAATGGGCACACGTTGGAACAGTTTGGAGGGCTCAGAAGAAGACAGGAAGATTTGGGAAAGTTTGGAACTTCCTAGAGATTTGTTGAATGCTTTTGACCAAAATGCAGATAGTGATAAGGACAATGAAGTCCAGGCTGAGGTGGTCTCAGATGGAGATGAGGAACTTATTGGGAACTGGAGCAAAGGTCATTATTGCTATACTTTAGCAAAGAGACTGGCAGCATTTTGGCCTGCCCTAAAGATCTGTAGAACTTTAAACTTGAGAGAAATGATTTAGGGTATCTGGCAGAAGAAATTTCTAAGCAGCAAAACATTCAAGATGTGACCTGGCTAATCCTGTAAGTGTTCAGTCATTGCATTCACAAATATTTTCTGAAATTGGAACTTTTATTTAAAAGGGAAGCAGAGCATAAAGTTTGGAAAATTTGCAGCCTATGTGGTAGAAAAGAAAAACTCATTTTCTAGGGAGAAATTCAACCCAGCTACACAAATTTGTATGACTAACGAGGTGGTGAATTTTTTTTTTTTTTTTTTTTGAGACAGAGTTTCGCTGTTGTTGCCCAGACTGGAGTGCAATGGCACGATCTCGGCTCACCGCAACCTCCGCCTCCTGGGTTCAAGCAATTCTTCCGCCTCAGCCTCCCGAGTAGCTGGGACTACAGGCACGCACCATCATGCCCAGCTAATTTTTGTATTTTTAGTAGAGATGAGGTTTCACCTTGTTGACTAGGATGGTCTCGATCTCTTGACCTCGTGATCCACCCGCCTTGGTCTCCCAAAGTGCTGGGATTACAGGCTTGAGCCACCTCGCCCAGCGGTGGTGAATGTTAATAGCCAAGACAATGAGGGAAATGTCTCCAGGACATTTCAGAGACCTTCACAGTGCCCCTCTGATCACAAGCCTGGAGGCCTAGGAGGGAAAAATGGTTTCGTAGGACTTGTCTGCTGCTCTGTGCAGCCTCAGGACAGGGCACTGTGTGTCCCAGCTGCTCCAGCTCCAGCCATGGCTAAAAGAAGCCAAGGTACAGCTCGGGTCATTGCTTCAGAGGGTACAAGCCCAAGCATTGGCAGCTTCCACATGTTGTTGGGCGTGCAGGTGTGCAGAAGACAAGAGTTATGTTTGGGAACCTCCACCTAGATTTCAGAGGATATATGGAAATGCCTGGATGTCCAGGCAGAAGTCTGTTGCAGGGGCAGAACCCTCATGATGAGAACCTCTGCTAGGGTAGTGCAGAAGAGAAATGTAGGGTTGGAGCCCCAACATAGACTTCCCATTGGGACACTGTGAGAAGAGGGCCACAGTCCTCTAGACCCCAGAAAGGTAGATCCACTGAAAGCTTGCAACACACACTTGGAAAATCCACAGACACTCGATGCCAACCCATGAAAGCTGCAGTGGCTATATCTTGCAGAGCCACAGGGGTGAAGCTGCCCACGGCTGTGGGAGCCTCCCCACCCCTTGCATCAGTGTGCCCTGGATGTGAGACATAGAGACAAGGGAAATTTTGGAGCTTTAAAATTTAATGACTGGGTTACAGACCTGCATGGGGGCCCTGGCACCTTTGTTTTGGTGCATTTCTCCTATTTGGAATGGAAGCATTTACCCAATGCCTGTACCCCCATTGTATCTTGGAAGCAACTAACTTGCTTTGATTTTACAGGCTCATAGGTGGAAGGGACTTAACCTTGTCTTAGATGAGACTGTGGACTTGGACTTTTGAGTTAATGCTGCAATGAGTTAAGACTCTGGGGGACTGCTGGGAAGGCATGATTGGTTTTGAAATGTGAAAAGGACATGAGGTTTGGGAGGGGCAAGGGACCCTCCCAAATGATATGGTTTGGCTCTGTGTCCCGACCCAAATCTCATCTCAAATTGCAATCCCCACATGTCAAGGGAGACCTCAGGGAAGGTGACTGGCTCATAGGGGTTTCCACCATGCTGTTCTCTCTCCTGCCACCTCGTGAAGACATGCCTTGCTTCCCCTCCACCTTCTGCCATGATTGTAAGTTTCCTGAGGCCTCTCCAGCCATGCCGAACTGTGAGTCAATTAAACTTCTTATTTTTATAAATTAGCTAGTTGCAGTTCATTCTTTATAGCAATGTGAAAATGGACTAATACATCCTATAATAGTATTGTTAGTGATATATTTCTGTGATATCTTAAGTGGAAGAGAGAAGAGTGGTACTTCAGTTGAGTTGCAGGAATTTTGAATTCCAGATAAATAACATTGAGAAATGGGAATCAGTATTATTGGTCATATGTGTAAAGCAGTATCCCTATAGGAGTTGCTCTTAGACATTTTCTTTCACTTCCACGACTTTAAAAAACACTCATTTTGTAATGATCCCCAATTTTTTATTTCCAACTCACATTTCTCTTCTGAGTCCTAAGTAGGAATATTCATTAGCCCGTTTATTATTTCTCACAATGTATCTCTTGAACACTTCAAGCTCAGTGCTTTCAAAATTGAAACTGTCTGCATTTGTTCAGCCTTGTGGGTGTCTCAGTATCATTCATGATTTCTCTGTCTTCCCCACAAGTCTTCTCAATTGTATTTTTAAAGAATTCTTAAGTATCTAGCTATTGCCACTGTTTTGTCCTCATGAGTTCTTACCTGGATTTCTGCCGTAGAATCTTGGCCTTCTGTCTTTAATTAAGGTTTCCTCTGTTCCACACAGTATTTATCAGATTATCTAAGATAGTGATTCTCTTGAACTTTTCAGAGTAAACTTGTAGGGTCCCATGTCACGTGTCAGAACTACTCATCAATAATTTCTGAAAGGGAGATCTGGATGTATATAGTTTGAAAAAAACTAACCAGGTGATGTTGATGAGGACACCTGGTTACAAACCATTCTTTATACAAGGTCGGGTGGCCCACACCTGTAATCCCTGCACATTAAGGAGGCAGAGATGGAAGAATTGCTTGAGCCCAGGAGTTCAAGATCAGCCTGGGCAACATAGGGAGAGCTTGTCTCTATAAAAAGATAATTTAAAAACTGGCCAGGCATAGTGTCACATGTCTGTGATTCCAGCTACTGAGGAGGCTGATGAGGGAGGATTGCTTGAGCCTGGAAAGTCGTGCCTAGAGTGAGCTGTGATCACACCACTGCACTCTAGCCTGGGCAACAGAGCAAGACCCTGTCTCAAAAAACTATAAATTTAAGTCTAACTAAAATTCTTGGGAGGCTGTTGATTTCCTTGAAGATAAAATGTGAGATCCTTATTTGGTATATAATATTCCATAGTTTGGTTCCTGTCTACTTCATATTCCTATTCTCCGATATAACCATGCTGAATTACTACATACAGTTCTAATGTGCCATCTTGGGGATATTTCTAGGTCTTTGTATATGGAATTTTATCTTCTTGGAACCTTCTTTTCTTTTTTCCTTCTTTGGATAATTTCTCCTTTTCAATATTCAGTTGTCATGTCCTAGAGGAAGTCTTCCCAGATTGTATACATTTATTTACTTGTTTTGTTTCTCTAGTCCCTAGCATGACACTTGGTAGTCAATAAATGTCAGTTGTATGAATGCAGACCTTACCTTTAGGTGCAACAATAACAGCATTGATACAGCATTCATTATGCGCCAAGTGCTGGACTATGCTAGTTGCTGCTGACCGTTTGTGCTTTATTGTTTACTCCCACAACAACCTGATGAGGGTAGGTGTTACTATTACCCATATTTTACTATTGAGGAAATGGAGACTTGGTTAAGTCTAACTAATTGTCTATGTGGCCAGCCTGTAAGTCACACACTTTATGTAGAACTGTATTTGAATCCTGTAGCCTGTTTGTGGAGCCTGTGCCCTTGTACAGCTGTTACACAGTTGTTTCAAAGTTCCCTAGTTTATTTTTTCAAATTCATGATAAATAATTTCTTAACAAGAGCTGATTATTCTTAGGCTACATGTTTTTGCTTTTAAATTATCAAACTGTGGATTAGCTAAAACAAAATGAAGATTTAAAAATATTTGGCATTTAGTTATGAATGGGATAGGTATATGGTAGAGTTCCATGCAGAGTTAATTCAGTGGACTTAAGTGTTTATTTCTGTTCAGATTTTATACCAAAGAATACTGTGTGCTAAATGAAGTAAAAATGTTCATCTTAACTGAGAATATTAGAACTACAAAGAACATTAGGCTTTATAAGTAGGAAAATGAGTATTCTACAAGATTATGTACTTTGGTCAAAGTCTTGTAGCATTTATTTGCAGAATCAGGACTGGAATTTGTGGCTCCTAACTTCAAATCCAGAGTGTTTATTTTTCTCAACTATGAAAAGTTGATATATCTAAAGCATTTCAAAGCTTAAAGAGAATTCTATTTTTATTATATTCTAGGTATTAGTGGCAAAATTATTCAACACAAAAAGAACAAAGTGATATGACTACTTAAGGCAAAATCATTTATTCAGTGCTTAAGTAACTTATTACTTGTGTGCAAGTACTGGCTTGTTTTCTCAGATTTAACATATTTCATGAAAGTTTTGCTAATTGATTTTTAAACCTGAAATGTGTTTTATTTCTTAAGCATCATAGACATAAATGTAGGCTATCCAAAGAGTAGGTGTATGTGTTATTAATATCTGGATATAAATCATAAGAGCATAGTCTCAATAATATATTTAAAAGCATTTTATCTTACAATCTTATAACATCTGCACTGCATGAGTGGACATTTTAGATGATTTTTTTGCCTCAGCTATATCTGCTTTAGAAATTAATTTTATTTGTTATAGTCAAGTTGACTAAAAACCTGTCACACTTAAACAGTTTAAAGTGGTAACCAAATAACTAATCTTTGTTGGTTTTAAATTTTTTTGTTTTTGTTTTGTTTTGCTTTTGAGATAGTCTTGCTCTTTTGCCCAAACTGAAGTGCAGTGGCCTGATCATGGCTCACTGCAGCCTTGACCTGCTGGGCTCAAGCAATCCTCCTACCTTAGCCCCCTGAGTAGCTGGGACTACAGGTGCCACTATGCCCAGCTAATTATTTTTTGTAGAGATGGGGTCTCACTATGTTGCCCAGGCTGATCTTGAATTCCTGGCCTCAAACAATCCTCCAGCCTTGGCCTCCCAAAGTGCTGGGATTATAGGTGTGAGCCATTGCACCTGGCTGTTTTGTTTTTTTGAGGAAATTATTAGTGGTTGAAAGAAGATATTTCCCTTTCCAAAATTCTAACCCTCCTTGTCCTCAGTTTCATACCTTACACATGAGCGTGTGGGGAGGAGATGGAAGATTTGTTTTATGCTAGGCCGGGAACATGAAGATTGAGATTTGGTTCATTTGTCTCTAGGATTTAGCTGAGGTAATACTTGGAGTATGTAGGGTGATGGTAAAAGTTTCCTGTTTCTTTCCCTACCACGCCTATCCAGGGTTTGGGGATTAAAAGGGCTATGCTGGGCCACAGTAGGTCCTATCTTATGTAAATGTACATATATTTAAAAAAGAGTCTATACGGCTCCAAACGTAGGAATTAGAAATCAAGATCGTGTTTTGAGGCATGTTTTCCCATTTAGGATTATAAAAAAGAAATTCTGGCTTTCATTTAAAAAATAAACAATCTCAACAGACCAGTGACTATCAGATTATCAGGTTTATTTATTTATTTTTATTTTTATTTTTATTTTTATTTTTATTTTTTTTTGAGACGGAGTTTCACTCATGTTACCCAGGCTGGAGTGCAATGGCACGATCTCGGCTCACCGCAACCTCCGCCTCCTGGGTTCAGGCAATTCTCCTGCCTCAGCCTCCTGAGTAGCTGGGATTACAGGCATGCACCACCATGCCCAGCTAATTTTTTGTAGTTTTAGTAGAGACGGGGTTTCACCATGTTGACCAGGATGGTCTCGATCTCTTGACCTCGTGATCCACCCGTCTCGGCCTCCCAAAGTGCTGGGATTACAGGCTTGAGCCACCGCGCCCGGCCTAGATTATCAGGTTTAATACCTTCTGAAATTGATTTTAAAACCATAAAGCATACAGATTTTTTAGAAACATTATTATATGGTATATGGAGATGGGCCAACCATAAGAGATTGAATACATGCATGTCAGCAAGGCTTATCTAGAAACCACCTTCATATTTGATAGTGTTATGCAGTTCATGAAAAATTACCAATCATCACTAAGGTTGGATGAATATGATTTTGTTTTTTTTGACATGGAGTTTTGCTCTTGTTGCCCAGGCTGGGGTGCAATGGCGCAATCTCATCTCACCACAACCTCCGCTTCCTAGGTTCAAGCAATTCTCCTGCCTCGGCCTCCCGAGTAGCTGGGATTACAGGCATGCACCATCATGCCTGGCTAATTTGTATTTTTAGGAGAGGTGGGGTTTCTCCATGTTGGTCAGGCTGGTCTTGAACTCCTGACCTCAAGCGATCTGCCCACCTTGGCCTCCCTCCCAGAGTGCTGGGATTATAGGCATGAGCCACCATGCCCAGCTGTCTCACTTCTTTATTTATTTAAGATATAAAGGATATAATATGTAGCAACTTGCTTTTTTCCCTTAACACTATATTATGACCCTCTTTCCATGCTAACTAAATTATGTCATGAGAGAACTTGAACTTCTGCTAAAAACAGGGAAAGGCCTTTTATTATAAAAGAGAATAGCTTTAACAGCACAGGTGAGGTGAAATTTAAGCAGAGACCTAAAGGGAAATAAGGAAGTGAACCAGCCTTGTGAGTTTGAGGGATGAGGCAAGAGACCTATGTGGCTGAAGTAAAAAATAGGAGCTAAAAGTCAGAGGTATAAGGGAGCCGCAACTAGATCATGCAGTGCCTTGAGAACTTTATGAGAAGTTGTGGCTTTTACTTGTGAGGTGGGAAGCCACTGGAAAGTTTTTCATGATTTGACTTTACCTTTTTCAGAGAACAACTCAGGCTGAGGATGAGGGGAAGGAGGGGCAAAAGCAGAGGCAAGGAAACGAGTTAGTTATGATAATTCCTTGCCTGTTCAAAAAGTGATTGGAGTTAGCAAAGATTTATAAGGAACATCCTCTTCCCCCTGAAAACCCCTGATATTTATTAATTAGATCAGTAATTATTCTAACTCTCAGAAAGCTGTGTTTAGATTTAGCATGGCTTATATTTTTTTAAATTGTAGACTAAATTTTTGAGAACTGTTTTAGATTTACAGAAAAATCAGGAACATAGTATAGAGCTCCCATACAACTCCTCACCTAGTTTTCTGTATTATTACCATCTTACATTGGTATGGGACATTTGTTACTCTTAATGAACCAATATTAATATATTATTATTAACTAAAGCCTATGGTTTATTCAGATTTCCGTAGATTTACTTAATGTCTTTTTCTGTCTCCTCTTGTCTGTGACAGTTTCTCCAACTTTGTTGTTTTTGTTGTTGGATTTTTTGTGTGTTTGTTTTTGTTTTTCTTTAAGAGACAGAGTCTTGTGCTGCCATCCAGGCTAGAGTTCATTGGCATGATCACCCATTAACTTCTGGGCTGAAATGTGTAGCTGGGACTACAGGCAAGCATCACCATGCCTGGCAAATTTTTAAAAGTTTTTTAGAGACTAAGTATTGCTATGTTGCTCAGTCTGGTGTCAAACAATCCTCCTGCCTTAGCCTCCTTTTACTTGGCTTTTGATGACCTTCACAATTTTCAGAAGTACTGGACAAGTATTTTGTAGGATGCCCCTCTTTTGGAATTTGCCTAATGTTTTTTCTTTTTGTGATTAGACTGGTGTTATCAGTTTTGGGGAGGGAGACCACAGGGGTAAAGTGTCACTTGCATCACACCATATCAGTGGTACATAACTATCAACATGATTTATCACTACTGATATAGGCCTTTATCACCTGTTTGATACTTACTTGTCAGGTTTCTACATTGTAAAGTTACTCTTTTTTTCCCCTTTTTGAATACTATACTCTTTGGAAAGGTGTCATTGTGTGCAGTCCACACCTGAGTGGGGAGTTATGGTCTCCCTCCTT